AGTAAGAGATAAAAGCTCGCATGACAACACGAAACACCGTTAGCTCATTATCTCACTTCACCATCTCTCCTACAAAGAAAAACACATGACTCAGAGAAAATACAAAAACAACGGAATAACAAGAAGGGACAATGACTCAAGACACGAAGGTCACTTTCTGCAGAGTCCAGGAACCAAGCAACAAGAATTCATTCTGATCTGAACCTCTAAGGAAGAAACATCCTCTTTACTTGTGTCTTGTGAATATATGTGAAAACACCTTCGTCCGTTATACTCCGTACCACATCCACGAAAACCGAAAATATACTAGTGTGTTACAATCGTACGACTACACCGTTTCACTCCGTCGTCCGATTTCATCGCCACACACTTACTGGGGGCTCGTCTGCCACAAGAAAACCCGAACCAACCAAATTCAAACAAAAGATGCCCCGCGACACAGAAAATTCGCGTGCAGCGGAACGTGATGCGGCCGAACTGGCACAGTTCCACGCAGGCCTTGCTTCAGGAATTCCTGCTAACGTGCCCAATGTGCCACCAGTGCCCAATGCAACACCCGATGACATAGGAACCGAAGCATCGATGCAAGATACACCAGCACCATCCAGTGCCGGGTCCTTCGTGTCTACGCCGAATCCCTGGGATTTTGTCACCCTACCCACGCTGCAACGATTCGCGGAGGCCTACATACAAGAGCGACCATCCACCTGCAACAAACACGGTTATACCCAATTCTTCGACCAATTGCACGTGTCACCAGTCACCCTGCTCATGTATCAGATGTCGACGGCCGAAAATCTGCCACAAGCCCAGCTGCCGCCAGGACCCTGGATTCCACCGCCGCAATCCCGTTGCGTCCACGAAAAGATGACACCTGAACTGCCGGCACAAGCCGACGACGAAGACTTTGAAGACTACGCATTACAACTGCGCGAACTCCTGGCAATCGATAACGTCGAAGAAACCGAAAAAGTGAGGTGCCTCATCTATAAAACAAAACGAGACGTTTCCAATACAGCACGCAGCATATACGCATCTGGCATTCGCAATTTCGACGGCATGGTGAGAGAAATTACCAAGTTCCATCCAACTCCACAATTTGAACGCCTCCGTCGATTCCGCAATCTACAACCTGACCAGAACGAAAGGTATAAGTGCTTCGGTAAACGACTCCAAGCAAATTTTGAACTTTTCCTTCGTTTGGCGCCGACTGACGTCCTTCCGGAGCATATGTTCGTCATGCAACCAATGATGATTGAACAACTACTCCAGGCCGCAGATGAGCGGATTGCTGAAAAACTGCGTTCAAAACTCACTGCCAAACCTACGATCAACTGGACGTCCATTTTGGAGCTGGCTGATAGCCAAAGAAACTTACTCAATGCCCAAAACGGAGCCATTCCACCCAAACGTGACAATTACCGAATTCGCACCGATCGAAGCAACAAGCAGTCCACAAGCAGCAAACTCGATTGTGACTATCACAAAGTCCATGGCCACACGACGGAAACCTGTCGAGCGCGCTTCCGCGTTACATCTCATCCAGCACATCAAAAACGTGACAAGGAAGACAGCGATAAAACCGCGACTGAAACGTCTCCACCTACGGGAATGTCGGCCGGGATTCTTTGTACCACGTGTCAAAAATCGGGACATGTGGCAAAAGATTGTATGATCACCAAGGGAAACGCACGCAGGGAGCAATAACAGCGGCGTTATGCTTCCTGAACTCGAACACATCCGCCGCCAAACCTATCCTCCTTCACATTCGGATCGACTCGCATCCCTGCGACGCGCTGGTGGACACGGGAGCATCACACTCGTTCATTGATGGACGTTTGGTACAGACTCTCAAACTACCGACGACGACCACGGATATCGCAGTTTCTACCGCCGGGACGGATAATCTCCGACTTACGAAGGAAGTTCAAACAAACCTTTTCATCCAGGAAAAACCATACCCTACCCGCCTTTGGGTTTTACCACAAGCCGCGTATCCCATTATACTGGGACGCGATCTTTTGGAACGTATGCCGATTACGATTGGCCTGGAAGGCAACCGCCTCTACGTCGGCTACAAGTATCACGCGAAACAACGAGCACCGCCAAGCTACAAACCAGGCGAGGGCATCAATTTTCTCGACGGCACTGCACCCGAAAGACAACGAGTGCGGGACATCCTGCTACAACACGCCGACGCCATATTCCAATGGTCCAGCAGACGCGGATGCCTTCCGGAATATACAGTGACCCTCCCCACACGGGACAGCACACCCCCGGCGTCTCCTCCATTTCGCCAATCACCCGACAAGTTACAGCCTTTTCGAGACATTATCGCCGAATATGTCGCAGCCGGTATTATAGAACCTGCTGCATCCCCCTACAATTCGCCAGCGTTTCTTACACCCAAGAAGACGCAATACCCAGGGGGAGCATCCAGCAAGTGCTGGAGACTTGTGGAAGACTACAGAAAGCTGAATACACTCCTAAGGACGGACAATTATCCCATGCCAATAATTCAGGATTTGATCGATGCACTCGGGAGACGGAACGCGTACTTCTGTACAGTGGACCTTCACGCAGCTTTTCATCACCTGCCCATAGTCCCTCAGGATCGCCCAAAAACGGCATTCTCAACTCCACAGGGGCAAATGCAGTACTCTGTACTTCCATTTGGCCTACGAAACGGGCCAGCGCTGTTTCAATGCGCCATCAACTCAATACTTCGTCCTCACCTCCTGACCCAATGTCTCGCGTATATCGATGACATCATTGTGTTCGGAGAGACATTCGACCAAGTATGCCAAAACCTGAGTGACGTTATCGGAACCCTCGACGTGGCTGGAGCTGCGATTGACATCGACAAGTCCACTTTCCTAGCTACGCGAATTGAATTCCTTGGGCTGATTATCGACCAATCGGGAACACGTCCCGCACCCCACAACCTGGAGGCGGTTGAGAAATACCCGCAACCGACGACGACAAAGGAAATGCAACGTTTCCTGGGGTTGGCCACATATTTACGGGCACACACCCCAGTCAACTTCGCTACAGCAGAAAAAGAATTGCGCCGTATCATTCCGCCAAAACCGCGCACCGTCCTTATATGGGACACTCGAGCCGAACAAGCATTTGTGAATCTCAAACAACACATTGCAGCGGCAGCACGTCTGGAAAGATATGATGAAACGCAACCAATCGAAGTACACACCGATGCCTCCGCCCTTTGCCTAGGCGCGGTATTAGTCCAAGTCCATCCACAACAAGGACCAGCGGTGATCCAATATGCGAGTCGAGTACTCACGGATGCCGAAACGCGTTATACTAACACAGAACGCGAACTCCTAGCAGTCATCTGGGGGGTAACAAAAAAGTTTCGGCACTATTTAGAGCACCGGGAATTCCGAATTATCACGGATCACCAACCCCTTCTCGGGGAACTAAA